CAGACTCGGATCGAGCCATGAGCCTGAGTGAGTTCAGATGAATAATATTTTCAGTGAGTCTGAGTGAGTCCGGCTGAAAAAAATTTTTGTGAGTGCGAGTCTGAGAGAGTCCAAAGCGTAAAATATATTTCTTAGGTGAGCTTGAGTGAGTTCCACTTACTTTTGCCAACCTAAAGTCCTATCTAGTCATATTCAGCCTTACTATCAGCCCTATCTGGATTCATGATTATAATCACGTCTACTTACTAATACTATTACTAAAGCAGTCTCGTTCATACAATCGTTTCAATATTTATTAATTAGAGGCAGTGAGTCACGTAGGGGGTGCCCTTGACCTCTCCCCACAAATTCTTTCAGGGAATTTTATCGTTATTATATCTTATGCTGTCACCTCTTCTGAGAAAAATGACCCCACTAGTTTAGAAGTTCTCAGAACTTGTTTTCGAAGATACTATGTGAAACGGCACCAAGATTACCGATTACATGAGATATTAGAGTTAAAGAGCATTGACACCATGGTCGAAGAAGCTAATTCTAGGCTCACGGACTGATGAGTCGACTCACTCGGACTGACTCAGTTCAAATCGAACCGTGAGTCCGAGTCTGACAGAGTCCAGGTGAGTAATGTTTTGGTGAGTCTGAGTGAGTGCAGCTGAAGAAAATTTTCATGAGTCTGAAGAGCTCTACAAGTTTTGCCGTCCTATGCGTGCAGTATGTCAGAGTTGCTGCTACATATTACGGCCACGGAGCTCTCAGATGCCCACTGATTCACAGGAATCAGCAGTCAAGGTGGTGACGTCAGGTCCTCCCTTCTAGCACGGGCTATTCAAATTGGGCAGATGCACCAAGGATTTTGATTGCACTGTTAGATACCAAAAAAAAAGTTTACTATTGGGGTGCACAAAATGATGATACACTCAAATGCACGTAGAAACTTAATCCAGTCGAACTTAAAAGGGCCATCACACAGTAACCTAACAATCCGCGGTTTTCAGCTTAAAATTGAAGTAGAAGGTCTGTGCTCATACCTGTGCTTATATGAAAAATGAACTGTAAAAGCATATTCCAGTGCAAATTGAGCCTTAGAAGGACACTGGCTATAAACACTACCCACCGCCGGAGACCACATTATGGCATGACGTGCGAGGATGTCATGAGCTACATTGAGCAGAGTGGTTGCCTTACACTAATGTTTCAGCCACTGTAAATAGTTCAATTTTAATGCCACGCTGCAGAAAGCTGATACAGCCCGATTTCATGAGCAGCTGAGCACGGAACAAAATCGTTCACTGGAATGCAGACGCTCGCAAAGCAAGCAGCTTGCCCCATCACGGCTCGCAAGTGCCACAGTGTTGCCCAATTCTTAGGATGCTCGCATGTTTATAAAATATTCAATTATAAACTAAGCGCCTGCCCTGTACACTAAAATCTCTCCCTTTTTTGTGTGTGTGTGTGTGTTGTATGGCACTGCGGCTCAATGCTCACTAAACATTTCTAAAACTAAGGAGGTTACAGCCAGCGAGTATAACGTAGCAACCCTTTCTTGCCAGATAGTGCTCAGTGTACATGCCAATGGCTGCTAATGGGGATCGCAGCGTGCGCGTTAACTAGAATCCGAATGCTCCTGTCTCTCATTCCCCATTAGCAGCCATTGACATGTACATTAACCACTATTTTTTATTGTTCAATAACGCACAGAAGAAATCTCTCACCGGCACCACCTTGGAGGTCATAATGTTATACTTGTTACATACTACAATGGCTACGAGAGACTAACAGGTGCCTCTATAAAGAGCTTCGCTCCTAAATATCAAAGCAGTGTTGTATTAGTAATGGATAATGAATAAATTAATATCTTGGCTCGTGTGTGCGTGTGTTAACCATCATAACACAGACTATGATCAGAATTTGGGGGTCATGACCCCTTTAGCATTTTCTTTAGTGTTCCATTAAATGCAAAGAAGCCCCTCCAAAAGCTGACGGGCAATGGAAAGTATTTGCAAGCAACCTGGCAAAGCCAACTTGCTGATGTCTACCCACTGAGCAGAACTGGTGATCCTTGGTTAAATAAAGCCTCATCATGTGTTGTGTACTTACGTTCTACAGCCCTGCCCACTTGGGCTAGGAATGATCGGGCGCCGTCCGTGGCTGGAAGCTCAAGCAGCAGTTTCCGACGTTTGTGGGCCACTTTCACGTACATGTCAGCTCCAGCTGCACATAAAATCAGTCTCTCAGCGAGCCTGCTCCCATAAAAACAAAGTGCATTTCATCTGTGCAACAAAAAACAGACAAATGCTCTCAGTATAGCTTTGATGAGGACAAGTACACCAGTGACTTCAACATGGTGTGGAAAGCTTTATCGTGATGAAAGCACAAGCAGAGGTACAAACGACCATTTTTTCATTGACCACAACATTTCAAGCAGCAGCACCACCACCAGCTTTTCTTTTTCATTTAGTTCACTAATGGTCTTCCTTCCACATTCACACAAGCCATCCAGAAGCACAATATACAGATATTTAAAGAGTAATGCATAATGTAAACACTCAAGTTGACATATCTCAACACCCAAAATCTCATCCATGGAGCAATAGTGGAAACCATTAAATTTTCTCTTTTGACATTCAGTGATTTTCAAACCTCTTGATCTTTGCGCTAAGAAAGACGAACACGTCCGAGAAGGCAGGACAGGTGCTTCCTCATGGGTTCTCTGATGTGTTCGTCTTTCTTAGTGCAAAAATCAAGATGTTATATACTGACCAACACACCCAACAACAAGTTCTTAAGTGAACCTAATCTTTACACATATGCAGCTAACAACAAAAGTTAGTTGCACCAAGAAAATATCACGACTGCTATGCTTACCTTTTCCATGTGAACAAGAGGTGTCTGAAATAAAACAAAACAGTAGAAATCTAAATTAATATTTCTACCACACCAAAATGCAAGCTTTGTTCACTGAGAAAAACGCCTCCTCAAGAAGTGCTATGTAGTGGCCTCTTTTAGGAATGAACGTAACAGCGAGTGGAAGATAGGGAACTCTCTGTTGAAACGGCACATTGATTTATGCTCTGACAATATCTTCAAATATTTTTATTAACTTCAACTTGGCATAATGGCACATGCAGTACTTTAATTGTGATTTTGCAAAAGTTACCACAGTTCAGAGTAGCCACTGAGTGGTGCCAGCAACTGCTCTGGATGAGGGTAGGGTGCCACTGTCTTGCCCTGCTCATGTCCGTGTGTTGCAGATGACTTTTTAGGTTAGTTTAGATATATTACTTTTATGCAATTTATATACAGAATCAATACTACTATGGTGGCTGCCCATAGTGTTTTCCTGAAATGCTACACCTACACAATCAGCCACAAGCTTCTGGCATGAAGTATTGTTTCGTTATAAAGCAAAAAAGTAGAAGCAAAGTTCAACTAATGAAAAATAATATAGCATATGTTTAGAATAGCAGAAAGCAGAGTTAGTTGGCAGGTATTCATGTTAAAAAACTGGGCATGCAAACACAAACACAAGAGCAAAGACTAGACAACAGAAACACCCCCCGCCTTTATGTTTGCTTCTCTCTTGAGTCTGTTTGCACGTTCAGTCTTTTAGCATAAAATATGTGCTTCGTAAAAAAAAAAGGCAAGCGCTACGAGTTGCTTAACATATGAATAAACGATCGACTCGGGGATGCAGCTCTTCTTTTTGATGGCAACGAATACATAAATGGCATCAAGCAGGACAGCCTCACTATTGCTCAGTTTTGTGTGGTCCGCGTCTCAAGGTTGGTTGCAGGTGTGTAGCGATGAACGCACCGATTTCGCACTTGAAATCTTGGTCGATGGGGAAGGCGTGCTCTGCCATGTAAGTCACATCGGGTGCACGCCCTGTCGATCCCGCGCCTACGCGAGGACACACGAGCAGCCTGAAAGCAAAACCGATCCCGCAGACCAATGTTTCGTGACGTTGCAAAGCGTGTCAAACCCAAACACTGCCTTAATCGAATCGGCAGCGTGTGGCACGCACTCACCCATGCGCCGTGTCCGAATGCTGCACAAGCAGCAACAATCGACCGGTCTTCACCCATTCTTGAACGAGCCCCGCCTCCAGCCACTGGCAAATTGGCGGTCGTCAAGCGATCATTCACTGTCGCAACAGAAGTGACCTTGCGCGGGAAATCGAATTCCCCCAAAAAAAGGATACGGCCACGCAGGAGTCTCCCGGAGCAAGTGTGTCTTTCACGGCGGCCGGACACTGCGCACTCATGGCTGTTTATTCCCACGCGGCGGCAACGACTGCGAAACGATTGTCATGCCTCGTTACGCACAGGCGTTTTGTATTACATTTATTTTGCTGCTTTTCGCTAAAGTGAATTAGCCGTGACCACCTGCCTTGTGACACGGGTGAATTAGACGGCGACACTGCGGAAGGACGAAACCTTCTTCCTCGCATGGCCCGGTCTCGATCGCTCACTCTCCATATAGTTTGGAGCTGAAATGCTGGCGATCCAAACAACGGCCGACGCGAGTCGTTGGTCCCACCTTGGTATTTCTGATTATTTGCAGTTGACGTCCGTTACCCGGGAACTACATGTCGCGGCAAACTCTGCGGTCTTCCTCAGATTGCAAACCGATTTTGCACTCTCGCAGCAAAATAAGTGCTCAGAAAGATTGCGCCTCTAAAACGATGATACGGCCATAAAACACCATCGCGCTATTACGGACAAACTAAGCTACTTCGGAACATCTACTGAAACAACCAGTAACACACGGAGATAAAAAATAAGATACGGCGAGATGCAAATCTTGCGCAAATAAAGCCGTCCTGGCAGCTAGTGTTGATACTTAGCTTCGTAGGCAAGATTTCCTTTATTTATAGTCTCTAACGCAACTAATTAACTTATTTTATGCAGGATATATGTGGTATTTTTTTATTTACTGCAACACACACACTGTGCTGAGAGTTATCACGAATATGCAACTCCGAAACATCGCCTCTGGTGTAACGGTATGCCCGCACTTGCTGGGGTGCGGATGGGCGCTCATATGGTGTGATCGCGGTGGGCAAGGAAGTGGCCGTATTTACCATACGTTAGGCAAGTACACCATGAGCCTGATAACTTTCAGATTTACGGTGCGGGCACTTCTGAAGAAAAAGGTTTCTCCACGAAAACTGCGATGGGAACAAGTGGCGTCCAGCTGCGAGGTGCAAAAGCGGTCGGCGGGCCACTTCACGTTTGTACCTGACACACCGTCCTCGTCAGATGGTTTGTGTGCTTACAGATTTATGCACTTACTGGGACATTAAAATATTCCACAAGTTCGCTATTTTCGAACAAATCGACAAAAATATCCTTTTTCCTTATCTATCCCCAAGGCGAAACGGCACGGTTGAACCTCTACCAAGCCATCACTAACGCCTTGGACCTAACGTTGTCCAGTGATCCGACTGCCGTGGTCTTTGGGGAAGACGTGGCATTTGGTGGTGTATTTCGATGCACGGTCGGCCTACAAGACAAGTATGGTGCGTATGCATGCGTCAATGGGATAGCATTGCTGCGAGAGGGGTCTCGTGGTTGGCTCGGCATCTTGCAATTCTTGGCCTGTCATTTCCGAGTTTCGAGCGCTTGATTTCTACCCCTGCTTTTAACTATAGTGGTGTGCATTTATGTATGATTCATGCTCATGCGGTGAATTTGCCGACTTGAAGGCGTAACGTCCAATTCACTCGCGGGTAATCGGAACAGTGCTATCACGAAGCACTCTTGATATTAAATTTGAAACAGCGCGCCTAGACGGGACACATGTTACAAGAAGCAAACATACACAGCGCTGTATGTGTTTGCTTCTTCTAACATTTGGTCCCGTCTATGCGAGCTGTTTCATGTTCAGTATGTACCAACTGGCTCGCCAGCAGTCAGTGTTGCAATTAATTTTACCCTTGATATGTCGCGGAGTTCATGGTTACTGCGCTCGCACGACGATCTACATCGCAGGGGGTCCACTGACGGCAGCTTTCGCTGCAACAGCAGCTTACGGTCGCTCTTATGTGCCCCGTGCAGGTAAACACCGCGTGTTCAACACGCCGCTGTGTGAACAAGGCATCGCAGGTTTCGGTATTGGGATGGCTGTCGCCGGCGCCACAGCTGTCGCCGAGATGCAGTTCGCGGACTATATCTACCCCGCCTTCGATCAGCTCGTCAACGAGGCGGCCAAGTACCGCTATCGGTCTGGAGGTCTCTTCAACTGCGGCGGCCTGACGGTGCGAGCACCATGCGGTGCAGTCGGCCACGGCGCCTTGTATCACTCACAGAGCCCCGAGGCATTCTTCGCCCATGTGCCGGGGCTGAGGATTGTTATGCCGCGTGGTCCTATCCAGGTGCGTGCACACAGCGCCGTCGTCATGTCATCTGAGCTCACAAGGAAGCATGCAGATGGCAGCACTTGGGAATGTAAATAATTCAGAACACCTAGCGGAACAAAATCAAACAGGTGGTTTCAACAAAAAAAAAGCCATCCGTACAGTTAGTCAGTACCGTGAAAGGTTCATGCAAGAACTGTACTACATCAAGATTATGATGCTAGTTTACACTTGCGAATGGTATATATAAAAACATATCCTTATGTCATTTTAACCATGCCTTTCACATGGTTAAACTGTCTGGTTAAAAATGACATAATTAAAACCATGTCTTTGACATGATTGTAAATCTATACAATGGAAAGGCTCTAAGCTAACCACGTGATTCATGCTTTCTGAAAGAGCACAGATAAACTTACCTAAATCAAACCTGTCATCACCTATTGCCCAATTCACTATGGTTTTGGTTTCTGAAATTGTGAAGCTGAATGCATTTGGATAGAACATCTAATGTTGCAGAAACGTCTGCCCAGAAATTAACTTGTTCAAAAGTATTGGTGGGCTAATAGCTAGTGTGCACCAGAGAAAGCACTATATGTCAACTTTTCATCTTCCTCTGACCAATCTCATCTTAGCCACACACTGAACATGTCAGGAAATTGAATGTTTAAACTTTCTGCACACACAAATTGACGTGCTTTACCATCTAAGTATGAAGATCACTAGACCTCCCATACTCATAGCATTCAGCGTGTCATCCTCCTATTGCATCAACCTAGAATGGACTTGTATAAGCACAGTTTTCTTTCTTGAACAGTTGGACACTAGCATTATTTGTATGTAAATGGGCATTCATTGTCATTGAATTATTTTATGTCTGCATTTGACATGTGCTATTATTACCACCCAGTAATAGACTCAACAGGGCTGCAGTATGTAAAAATAAATATCGAGATATATGAAGTCAATTGAGATAACAGCAAACAAATTGTTTACAGCACACAAGAAATTATCACAAGTACATGCTTTGCTAATGAAAGCAAGCAGAAATCCTAGCCAGTTGGATACAAGTTGGATGATGCAGTTGTGACGTTACACAATATAAAAACAAGACCTGTTTGGTGCAAAGATGTAGAAGTAACTAATCATTGAAGAAGGTAAGGCATGCAGACATGGATTAAAGAGAAGACAATTGGATAACACGTATAAAGTGGAAGGCTGCACCATGGCAACAATTATGTCGAAGTTATATTCTGAGGAGCTCTATTCTATTGTATAAAAACTCTTGGCATTTCTCATCTTAAGCCAAGAAATTGAAAACCAGTATTTTCAGTCAACTGGCACATTTCAACATAGATAAATAAGCTGTGCTGAAAGTCATGTGTTAAAGTAACACTCTTCATATGTGCTTTACTCTGCCCAACTTTTCTTCTGAAACGGCTCTGAGTATGAGATGAGAAGCACTGCACTGGTACCGTTTGACTCTGCCTTTTCTGTTTTCATTTGTTTTCCCTGCCACAGCTCTCTCAGCTGGGGATTTCCTTATCCCTCATCTGTATTCAGGCAGCCATAAGGAAGTTACACTCTGTGCACTTTATCATGACTCAGACAGTGAATGAGTCATCTCTGATAGTAAATGAATGTAGCAGCTGTTTGTATGAAAGGGCAGCGTCCTCGTATGTCGTGCTATTGGCAGCTCCATCAAGGGTCTTCTTCTCAACTGTAGTGCCTTGAAGTAATGCTTAGTGCCACTTAAAGAGAAGCAGCAGTGAAATTATGGACTGCATAAAAAGCCCAGGTATAAAGAGTGTGGGCATAAACTGTCACTGACTATTTTATGCTTGAATTATGTTCATCACAAAAATCCCTGTAGAATAGGCAGTTTTATTATAAATGTAAAAAATAATGCTGCTGCTAACATTTGCCAAAAATGATTTAGAAACCGGAATATGGAGAGCCATTAGGTCCTCAGTGTGACCTTCAAGACTAGGGTCTGTAAAAATACGGCACAAAAAACCTTGGAAGCAAATGCACTGGAACCTCTGTTGTATCTACTATCGGGTGTATGATTAATGTACACATGTGCTAATTATCACTGTTAATGATAAAATAAGACAATTGTCAGCCCTGCAGATTCAATAACACTTCAGTAATACATGCTGCTCACTGATGACACATTCATTAAAAATGAAAAATTCATTGCCAGTGGCTGTTAAGTGAAGCTTTTTTCCCGTTCATAGTGCTCTATTGGTAGTACACTGCATACTTTCACTTTCACTGATGTGTGAACTTAGTAAGCAATTTAGCACAAAACTGCTTTCTGACATTTTGCCCTGCAGTCTTCCAAGCAATGTCAACTACTAGGCCTCCAACATGGCTGGAACTTGGGCTAGTTGTCAGAATGACTTCTTGGGCGAGGTGGTGTTTCTTAAACATATTATTACTCTAAGACCTACATATTGTTACTCTGCACTTCTACCAAATCTTACACGAAGACAGTAGCCTCACGAGCGCAAAGCTGGTGTATTTACAAGCAATGTAGCTGCTGCCCAAGCAGCGATGAAAGATGTCTTCTTGTAGCCCGAACAAGCTTTCTCGTTGTCTTTGCCGTAACAATATCCTTGTAGCACGAAAATCGAAAAAGAAAGGAAACTGAAGAACAACAGGTGCTATTACAATATATTTGTGTTAGTTCGCTGTACTTCATAACTGAGTAGCAGCACACTCTTACACAGATAAAGAACAGAAGCACCTAAAAAAATTAAGGCAGCTTCGCACTAGTAGTGCCATGCCCAAAAGAAGTGCGGAGCTTGGCGACATTCTTTGTTTCTCTTCGGATTTCTACTTTCCAGCTTTTTTTGTCCTGTTATATCTCTTTACTTATTTCTATCTTCCTCTTTTTTTCCCTTTTTTTTCCTCTCTTTCTATTTCTAGCTTGCTTTCTGTTTGTTTTTTGGTTCTATTTTTATATGTGGTTTTCTTTGTATTACACGAAGCGACAATAACATATGAGAGTGTGGGCCCCAGAAGTGCTCTGCATTTAGTATCATTGTCCAAGCGCTCGAAGAACAATAGAAAGAAAATTCTCCTTGGCAAGAACACGCACTCTATGTTCAGCATGTGGCTATGCTATACATCATCATCAAGCCACTCAAACAAAAAGAGGAACAAGACTTCTTGACGTAAGTGCATGCTCATTATGCGACAGCCTGTGTTACACCAAGCGACAACGACTGTATATGATCACAGTGTACAACAGCTAATGAAAGAATACGACAGCTCGGGCCCTTAAAGTGCTCCATATTTAATACACTGCTATGCATTTCTGGTCTTTTTTTTTTTTTAGTAAGTGAGCTGCCGTTCAATCATGCAATACAAAAGCTACACTGTTGTTTGCCGCAGCATTCATTTTCGAGCCTTTCGTCAGCAAAGGATGAAGTATGACTAGTTACGGCAGACCACATGGGTTCTTTTACAGGTCCGACATTTGTGCAGACCCAATCTCTTGGAGAATGCTTCTCACACTGGTTGTGCCAGTCTGTACAACTTTCTTTTTTCATTCGTAATTTACAAATCCCTTGTACTACATTAATGTATGCTTGTCCGAGTACAAGCTAAGACCTTGACGCGAGGAAAACCAGTTGATATAACCTATCATCTCTGAGAAATTACTGCTTATGTAAGCTTGTTAGTTGATTATATCATGCCATGTGTTGGGCATGTGTACAGTACGGTAATCTCATGGGCAATGACTGTAGTGTTCCTATAGACAGGCTTGTACTGGCTTGTACTGGCCTGTTTGGTAGGCATCAGTGGTTGAGATGGTTTTGGCATTAAAGAAACGTATGTTGTGATAACATAAAAAAAAAAACTGGTCTTTTTCAAAACAAAGTGTGAAAAGTGACTGCATATAAATGCTTTTTCAATCTTTCTTCCTTTTCTTTTCTAATTTACGAATGCTCCTTCATTTTTCTTTGCTTACTAAGCTCTCTCTTTGCAATGAAAAACCTGTGTATTCACATCATATACATGTTTAGTGTCTGTGATGTCAGTAACGAATTGAAAGTTGAAGAACATTTGATTCAGTCACATCTACTGATATATTGTTATGGCAGTTATATCTTTCATAATGCCCTCATGGTATAAGAATTTATATAGCTGACAATTGAAAACACCCAATGTCATGGAATTCAGTTGAGCTATGAAAGCATTGACAGAAATTAAAATTGTCCATCTTCTTCTGTTGAATTTAAATTTTGCACACACACTTGACGACTTCTTAACTAGCTTGGGGATGCATACTGGCATAATACAGCCACATTTGAAAAACATGTGAAGGTATTTCTGAAAAGATTGCGGGTACTAGTGTCTTCAACGTCATTCTGAATTTTTCGTAAGGAAGGTCTTTTCATGAAAGGTGTCATGATGAGTCTGAAGAAATAAATTATTATTATGTGCTCAGTTTTAAAATTGAAATAGCTAACCTTTTTGGCTTCTAGCATGAACTACAATTTGAAAAGCATTCAACGTAAACCCTATGCTGCAGTTAATTTAACCCTTGAAATTAGTGTCTACACTCTTTTACAGATGTAGTACCACACATGAATTAGAAAAATTTGATCATTATTTTGGTTTTAAACTGTAAAATTTCAAACTGAGAATAGTGGCAGCATATTTCTGTATTACCATGTGACAAACCATCGTGAAAAAAAAATCAATGGGAGAACATTAGTGTGATGTTTTCGTCGTAATATTAAATAAAAGAGCTTGTGACGTTTTCTTCACAATAATTAACACAAGCCTTAACTGTGCTAGAATACCTACCTAGTTGTGAGAAAACATTACAGGTAACAGAATGTACTTCAGCTATATTGTTTCACATGAATTGAAAATTCGATTAGTTTGCCCTTCTTGTTGGTTGCTGAACCAGCTCAGCGATTGGTTAACAAAACAAGGTCATTGACACTTTCTTATCGTTGTGCTGCGCTTGTCTGCTGCCAGTGCGTACGCTTGGAGCTGGCTTTCGCGTCGGATTGTAAGGGTGCCAGAGCTGATATCAGCAGCCGTTTGCACGGAGCATTGACAGATCTCACACCAGTGTAAGTGGCACGGTGCCAGTTGTTGGAAGCTTGCCTCACTGCATGCAAACATAACTTAGAACTAGGACGCTTTTGAACCTATGCTGCTGTTGCCCCCCACTCCCACTTTTCCTCCTTTGTTTATGTTGTTGTTTGTCTCGTTTAATATTTTTTATTTGCTACTATTTCATAAATGAGACATTTTAAAATCTGCAATGGGAATTGCTGAAACAGTTTTTTGTTCATTTATTTTTACCTCTGAAATACCACTGAAAAGATTATTCTATGCAGTTCCTGCGTAGGATGTTAAACATGGTAATTTGAGTGCTGAAAAATCCGGTTCGCGATGTTCTTTCACAATTAAAAGGTGACGTAAACATTTCATTATTGGCGACCATGAAATTCCTGTGGCTGTTTGTTATTTATGAGGAGGCACAAAAGCTGGTGGGAACGTGCGTTGCTGAAAGTTTTAGGCTTGTTGTGCTTGAAGGCTTATGTTTTCTTGTACTCTCACTTGCAGGAAAAGAAAAAAGAAACAAGCTATGACTTTTTTTAGTGCAGTCTAATTTGAGGGGAAGAAAAGCAACTTCCAACAGCTGTAACGTTTATATCATTTTTAAAAGCTGGAAGTTAACCTCTCTCTGTTCGTCCTAGTTGTGAAAGGTGCAGTTTTTATTGTTGCCAACGTGATATTAGTGTACATGAAAACTAACGAGTAATTACTTGCTAACAGCTTTCAGAAGCACCCGGTATTTAATTGTAACTCCGAACCTCTTGTAAAGGCTTTGCTTGCCATTGGAATAAGGTGTGAAACGTAACTGTATATTCTGTGACATGCAGAACACAGGAACAAAATTAACATGTGGCTGTTGAGTAGCCTTTTTAAGTTGGTGTCTATTATAACATCGTGAAAATAGAAGTGACATAGTTTATAAGTATTACAGAACGAGGTCTTGAAGTAAACACTGTCAGGGAGACTTTCTAATTTGAAGCAGCTATTTGCCGTAGAAAATTTACTTGTCATATTTTTATGTTAGTGTGTTTATAAAAAAGTACTACTTTGTGAGCACTATTCTTAAAGTGGGAAACATCACGTAATCAAAACTAAGTAATTAAACAACAAACACTTATTGGGTCAAGTGCTGAACAAATGTTCATAACGCTCGAATGTTGCCCATAGTATTAGTGAACTTGACAGAAAAGTGAATGTGAAATTTATTGGTATTTGCCAAAGCTTAATAATCAAGTAGCTTTTTAAATAAATTTTACAAATAAGGCACTCATTAAAACATTTTCTGAAATCGGCTGAAATTCTACGCAGTTCCTGTCAGCAGGAACTGCGTAGAATTTCAGCTGGCTTTATCCTTCCCAAGTTGTTTACATGCCAGTTGCAGTCAGCTGCTGTCTTGCTGTTTTTTTTTTTTTTTTCCGAAATGTTCTCTTCAAGTAGATTGACGCACATTGCTGACATTTGCGTGCCGTGCATCCATGCCTCTTTTCTGTTTGTTTGGAGAAGCATGAGTATGTCAGGCGTTTGGTAGTTTTCCAAATGAGATAAAATGTTCGCAGTTCGCTTCTAAGCAAATGTGTGGGCCTGTTTAGCATACCCGTTCATTCAGTCACATTGCTGGATATCATCTAGCGTTGTAAAAGTGCGTCATATGTATGGCACCATAAGCCTTAAAGGGACACTAAATGAATTGGAAAAGGTGTTTTCCCTCGTCTTAGTGAATTACTTCATCACAATACCAAAATAGTGATACTTGTCTGAAGAAGACACGAAAACAAAAAAAATGTGAGTGGTGACACAATCTTAAAATTTTGGCACCAGCCCTCTAACGTCATGAATTTCGACATCATTTACAAGGGTATACATATATTTCTACTTGATAAAAATGAAGTACTTTGACCTCTTGGCGTCTAGAGATTTGACATGCAAAGTTTCAGGAAAGTTTGCTGTGCTAATATTGCCGAAATTATAAAATTACGCTTTGAAATCTGCCACATCTCCTGTGAAGATTTCAGTGCTGTAGTATAGTGATACTTTCACCTCGATTTTCAGAAATCCTTTGTTGACAAACATATAATGGTTAAATTGAAGTCACCAGCATTTTCAGACTGCAATTTATCGATGTATACTGGTTCTCTGTTTCATTGTAGTGTCCATTTAAGCCATTGTGTACGACGTAGCAGAGCTTTGCTATCACGAGCTGATCCACTTATGGCATTGCTGACTGAAAAAAAAAAGGAAGTCTTACTGGGTAATGTCGTGACACCACAAGAGAGCATTGTGCGAAATTTTGTGTATCCTGAAAGTCACTCTGTTGATGACCTGTAACGGTTGCTTGCATATTGTTTTTTCGGTGGGGTATTTAAAACTTGCAAGTTATATGCCTAGTTTATTTAGTGTTGTTTGATTCTGGACGTGAATATATACTTCTTTATTTATTTTTTTATAGCTTTTAATGGAAAAGAGTTGGTCATTTAAAATTTCTGTCTTCTCAGGTTCAAGACTATAACGTGCTGTTGTAAGCCAACAATGTGTCGCAGTGTTTTTTCTATTCGCTATTTGTTTGACACGACGTGCACTCTACAAGTGCGTAATAGTTTAATGTGCATCACACCAAATACTCAACTAAAAAGTGTTGACTGGAAAGTTTTCTACATCCATTTATAATCGTGGCCTAAAAACAGGAAGTCACAAAGGCTTTGCAACAGCTGGCACCTGTGCGCAGCTGACAATGTTCCTTATGACGCACGTGGCTGACGTACATGGCTGACGTACATTACCTCCATTACCTGGCTGAACAAAATAAGCTCCAACTTTAGAAAACATAAATGAAAGGTGCAAGAGCCCTTATAATAAAGGAACCCAACAGACAATGCAATATAGATATTTTAAATGCAAAATTTGACTTCATTAAGTTTATATATTTAAGGCATGCAGTTAGAGACATATATGAGAAAGTGTGGTGAATTGAGTTTAGTATCTGGTAATGAAAAGTATACTGCAATTGTCATTTAGAATTGTGCACATGTTATCAAGTATCTCTAAACAAAATGATGTCAGTTTTTATTTGTGCAGATTAAGAGATCAAGGCATTATGTTTACATAATAGGTAGTTTTAAAATAGGGCATGCAAAGCTACACATAGCACTTGCTGCCACAGTGCATGCGTCATGCACTAACCTTTTGAGTATGTGCGATGTTTGTGGAAATACCCTAAAATGTAAATTCTATGAACCCCATTCTAAAGCGCTCTATTGTTGCAGTTACACAAAACAAAATGTCTCACATATAAAGCCAGTGTGCATAAATTGTAAAACGAGAACAGTGAAAGTGGCTGGCAGTTGCTTATTCTTGTTTTTCTGCTTTATAATGATGGAATTCCCTAGAACTTATAGCGAGCATGTAATGCTAATGTATCTTGAAGTTCTTCCAAGGAGTGTTGTGCATACAGACACTGTTTGAAGTCTTCGATGTTCGTCTTATAACTGGCTATAAGTGAGCGTGCCAGGATTGACGGACCTAGTACTTGCGGGTCCCACTGTGCAGGCCAAGGGTCTTCTGAGGGCTTGTGTCCAGAACCAAGACCCTTGCATCTTTTTCGAGCCCAAAATCCTGTACCGTTTGGCTGTGGAGCAAGTTCCCGTGAAGGACTACTCCCTCCCACTTGACAAGGCGCAAGTCTTACAAGAAGGCGATGACATTACCCTCCTTGGCTGGGGCACACAGGTGTTTCAGTAATTCCTACTTATTTGCTCATTTACTTATTCATTCATTTATTTTGCTCTACGTATTTGCTAATTTACTTATTACTTATTATTATGCTTGAAAATTTCCTAAAAATCGAGATTTCTATGCATGATCTCGCCTCATAGACAAAAATTAAACCCAGTCCAATCCAGGCTTTTTTTTGTGACACTCGGCGCTACAATCTTGAGAAGCGTTTATGTAAACATACACCGGAATTTCGCTGATTCAAATTCGTGCAATTCCGCAGCCGAATGGGAGATTTTCCTAATCCGCAAGTGTGCTCCTCTGCGATACAAATCGCCCCACTAATGGCCGCACCAGTGGTGCTTAAAGCGAAAACGAGGAGCTACTTGCACGTGCTGGGACTTCTCTATTATCCATCAGGACAGCCGAGTCAATATTTTCCACGTCATAGCGCAAGCAAACTGCGCTTGAATGCATTGCTTTTAGTAAGAGGCTAGCTGCCATTAGTAGGACAAACTGCATAGCAGAGAAGTACATTCCCAAATTAGGAAAAGCTCCTATTCCATCGTGGCCAATGAGCCAAAATTTGTGTTTGGTACCAAACCATGATGCATGGCCGAGAGCAATGTGCTGGAAGCTGCCTTGCCGCGGTGGTCTAGTGGTTATGACGCTCGACAGCTAATTAGAAGGTAGCGGGATCGAATCCCGGATGCTTCTGGTGGCAAAAATGTTTGAGGCTTGTGTGCCTAGATTTTGGTGCACATTGAAGAACCCCAGGTGGTCAAAATTTCCGGAGCCTTCCACTACGGCGTCTTTCATAATCATCTCGTGGTTTTGGGCGACATTAAACCCTAGATATTATTATTATTAATGTTCTGGAGGTTTCAGAAGGATGCGGGTGGCCCAACGAAACAGCAGCCACATCTTGGCACGAACTCCGAAAGTGCATGCGCATCGAACGCTCCCCCAGTCAAAGCGGCACTTCTTTCGGCAAACGCAGCAGACAAAACCGCGACAGAAGCAATCACACTCTTACGGAAACCAGGACTGAAGTTTCGTATTATTTAACGGAAGAGGGGGGGGGAAGGGAATCGATGCAGTCTCAGCTTACCATTTATGCTAGTTCAGAAAATCAATAAATAAAGGGCATTTTTGTTTTATGTTTCTAAGGAAAGTCTTGTGGCTAGCAGCCGTCGTAACTGGGATGCCATTTTCAACCATTTTACTGTGTTTGTAATGCTAACTTTTCTCCCTTATGAAGCGAATTACAGGTTTTCAAACAGCTGCGTTTATCAAGCAGCGGCCTTTTGTCTGAACATGTGCATGGGGCGTTTTTCAGCGTGAAGAATTCTTGACCTGGGTGCAACAACCTTTATCAATGTTGATGCGACTTGAATGCCTTTTTTGCGGTGACAGGTGCACGTGCTGCGGGAAGTGGCTCAGATGGTTCAAGACAAGCTGAATGCGTCCTGTGAGCTCATCGACCTTTGCACACTGATGCCATGGGACAAGGAAACTGTGGCCAACGTGGGTTTTTGATCATCCTGTTGAGTGTATCCATCATGCTGCCATGTATTTTACAGTAGTAGCACTAGACGAAACAAAGGCATAAAATTGTGTTTGAAAATATCAGTTATAATCATAGGTAAATAGTTCCTACAGAAAATTGCTGACAAAAGAAATCTTACAACTCGAAAATACTTTTTTCCCCATTTGTATTTTTCTGCTAGGTAGGTATTCTCTGTTCGTATAAAGGAATGTGGCAGCAAAGACAGATACATCTTACGTATGTTGTACTAAAACGAAAGAAAGGTTATATTGCTGGCAAGTGTCTTCAGAATAGCACATGATGCTGCTGTTGAGTCTGTGATGTCATGGATTATGACATCGTTCGGCACAGTCTAATCAATTATGCATTGTTGAAAGTGAACTGTGTTGCATTCCAAGGAAGCCATAGAAGCTGGGCAGAAATTGTCTGGAGAGTTGGTGGACATGTGAGAAATCTATGTTCGTGTTAACGAAAAAAATTTTTTAAAAATCTGAGAAAGAAACATCAGGAAGCAACAGGTTCAGCACCCGACCTGTTTGCTTTTTACTCTTTCTTCCTCAGCTATTTGTTTTTTGTGCTAGCAAAGGTTTTTTAAATGGCCCTGCATTTCGGGCTGCAGAAATGGCGGTTTAGTTAGATTTTCTTCCGCATTAAAACACTTGGGTAGTCAATGGGAAGGGAGGGGGGGGGGGGGGGCTCTTTGTTGTGAAGCCAACTGTATCTAGCAATTAACAAATACGTAAGAGTATTATAATTCATACTTACACATCACTACTGCCAAAACAACACTGCCACTGTGGGAAGCCCCCTTTTTTTTTTTAAATAAAGCCCCCCCCCCCCCCCCCCCCGCGGACTATATATAAACCCCGAGTATTCCCCTTTGCGGTTGCCTCTGTATCGCATCCTAGTTTTGACCAGGGGCGTAGCCAGGGTGTGGCACTCCCGGCCTCGTGCCTCCCCACCCCGGATTTTTTTTTTTTCTTCGCCATGGCATACGGAGCGAAAAATTACCATATTACGGGGGCGCCCTCCCCTAAATCAAAGAGCCCCCCCCCCCCCCTCTCCGCAAAAAAAAAAAAAAAGAAGAAATCTGGCTATGCCCCTCGTTTCGGCACGTGCAACTCCATAATTTTATCAATTTTCTCGTAGCCCTACCGCGTGGGCGGCACAGCAGCTGTTGCCGTAACGGTAGCAGCGGTGCGAGCGAAGACCTCAAAGCTGTTTGCTCGCGTACGGCGACAGCGAGGGCAGTAACGTGGGGGCTGGCTTATCGCGCTGCTCGAAGCAGCCCGGCGATTCGCGTCGCGTCGGAGCCCTGCTGCGTTATCTCGCGCAGTGCGGCGACGAGACGAGCGTGCAGTCACTCGAGAACGTTCCTGCGAGCTAGCGAGTCGGAACATCGTCCAACTGCGGCCGGATGCTCGAAACTTCATCCGCCTCTTGACGCGTTAACGCTGCACGCGTAGTTAACCCTCACTCCCCGTAGCGCACTGGCTGTTCTGCAATTATGTGTAAAGCACTCGTGTTCTCGTTTTCGCGTTCGCCGGTGCGTGATTATCGTTTGAAAAGCGCAGGCTTCTTGTTTTTCAACACTTGATGACTGGTACCTGGTGCACCGATTAGTTCTCATTCCGCGTAGGGCTTCTTCACTAGTACGCGGCCGTAAGCGACGAGTGGGACAGTTTCAGACTCGCGGAATTTCGTTTCACCAGTAACTGCGTGTTTTCTGGCGTGCTGGTACGAACTGTACTGTACGAGCGGAAGTTTGCAAACGTGTTTAGTACAGAGACGGCGGACATGCCGCTTTCCTGGCGGAACAGTAATCGGGTTACTAAATCCGCGGTCGCTACCTGTGGTTCAATCTCATCGCGACGCAGTCGCCGGTGTTATCGGCAGAAGAGGCAAGAAGTCTGCGCTTACCTCACGGGCAGGAGGCCAAGAGGCGATAACCGCGGTATCGCCGTGGGAGTAACAGACGCAACTCGGGCCACCGTCGAAAGAACACAGAAGGGAAGTGTGGCAGCTTGGGCTAGTTGGTATGGCATGACGATAGTTATAGCGCGAGAACAAAACGACACAGAGACAATTTCGTGTCCTTCTTGTCTCTGTGTCGTCGTTTTGTTCTCGCGCTATAACTATCGACTGAAGGGAAAGAACGAATTAGACTGATAATTTTTTTTTAATGTTATTGTACATATGGGCTTAAATGTCAGAAGTATCACTTTTAAACTTTCCCGCCAAAATTTCTTATGGTGACGTCACGGATGTGTGGTTTTTTTTTTCGAGTTTAGGCTCCATTGGCGCGTAAAAAAAATTTCTTGAAATTCGATTCGTTATGTCTCTCGCACCCTCTGAGGACAATTTTCTTCATTTTTACTGATTAAGAACCTATAGTCTATGTTTAAATCAACGACATCACGGTGACTGGGGTGGGAACTTCCAAGATGGCATGGCTGCCCGCATTTTCATTTGGAGCGTGTTCTCGCTGAACCAAGAGTCCTCTTGCAGCAAGCATGGTAAACTGTTTTTCTCTTTAGAGTCCATTTCATGTCTACCGAGCAAGTGAAAAAAAAAAAAAAAAAGAGAGAGAGAAATCCGGCTTATATTTAAACCTATGCCTTTCACCGCTTCGAAAACTTGAGCAGCTTTGAGAATGCCCCCATTCTTGATATGCAACGTAGTCATTCCATGCATGCCTCTGAATTGGAGAATTCACGAAGAAAACTAAATATATGAATTCCCTTTCAACTTGCAGTCTGTGCGGAAGACTGGGAGGCTTCTGGTTGCCCACGAGGCACCTCTTACAGGAGGACTCGGAGCTGAGATTGCTGCCTCAATCCAGGTATGTTGAGGATGCATTGTACGAGCTAGACTCCTTGAAAGTATAGTAGAGTGCACTGAACTGCCACACCCATGTTTGAACCGGGATCCCGGATAACAACTCGTACCTCAGGAAGATGGTCAATCTTACTTCTAAGGTTGTACTTGTAGCTTCACTGACCGTTCGGATGTGCGGCTTGGAATCAGAGCTTCATTTGAGATGGCCCTCGTTCTACCCGAGATGTGCTCATTAAGACATTATGTAGAAGCTTCACACCATATGAATAAATGTGCGCCAGAGCTTTTATTGTCCTGGGAGGCAAAATGACTCATTATGACTACAAACATTTCAATGATGAGAATGTCTTTTGATCACTGTGCAGAGCCAGTGTAATTTTCGTTTGGCGCTAAAACAGGTTGAATTTAAAAACAGCATGTGCACCATCTTGCGTATACTCGCGAAAAATGCGTTTCGTGACTTCCATTTTCACCGTAACCCTCACACTGAGCATTCTCAGACATGGTAATATTTGTGTCATGAGGATGATCGAAATTGCAGCACTAAGGTTAGATAACTGTGCATTACACACGTGCATCACAATAAGAACTCTTTGATATTGTAGTGAAAACGGAGCAGCTACACGAAGAGTTGAAACTCCAGTTACTTCAAAGGGTGTGTGATCCTTTTTTTTTTTTTTTTTGTATAAGCAGCTTTATAGCAGCCTGGAGGGTTTGGTAAGAAAGCATCACCTCAAAAGAACCCTTGCCAATAGCTAACATAATTACGAATATACTAGTGGTCAACCTTACCTAACTGTTTACTATAATCATAACCAAATTACAGCCAGAATCATGTTGTATACGATATTCACTATGCACTTGAAAAGCTATTTTATTTAGGTTGTGTATAATTGCATAGCAACATACTGAATTATAACTGCAGCCTTATGGTTCATGCAGGAGGAGTGCTTCCTGAGCCTTGAAGCTCCAGTACAGAGGGTAACTGGGTTCGACACTCCATTCCCACATATCTTCGAGCCGTTCTACCTGCCAGACAAGTGGCGATGCTTTGATGCCATCAAGAAAATGATGAACTATTAATTTCTAGCAAGTGAAAACTGTAAATTCAGCGAATACCAGCATCGAGACAGCTGTGTTGGTGCAAGACAAGTTCAGAAAAATAAAGAGGCTATGGTATAGGTTCGAATAATGTTGAACAATAAACAGTCATTATGGGCCCAAGGTAAAACAGCATGCTAACTTAGAAATAATAATTGCAGTCAGTGTTGTAATGCTGTTCAGGAGTCAAGTGTATTTTATAGTTAAGCCGATTGCAATGTCTGATGCATATTTTTTTTGTCAAGATCCTACATTTGTACTGTTGAGATATTAACGGATTCAAACTTCGATTCTGCTTGAAAATTCTGATGAGGATTCAACAAAATATATTAAATCACAGATCCTATCACTTGCACAACACTTCTGAATTTTCAGTGCCACAATATATTTTGAGCCAAATGACAGGTCATAAAATATTAATAAAGACCAAAAATTTTCTGGTTTGTGTACTTTTCTGCAATCAATTCAATGTCAGTGTCTACATATCGCATCGATTTTGTGAGAAACAAAAAACTTATGAAACATTGGAAAACAACACTGTAATTTGGGTATTGCCATGCACGAATTCATCTCTCGCATGGGATAGCGGTGGCCATCTTTAAATTACTTAAGCGCAATAAAAAAATTTTTGAACGGGGGGGCACCTCATCACAGGAGATGCCCCTCAATATATTACCTGCCCTCATTTTACAAGTGTAAACAAAATATGCTAAGGTTTTTGTAATTTGCTGCCATGGAAATACGGCAATCTTGTACCCAGCAATTCCACAGCCAAACCGCAAAGTGCAGTAGGTAGAAATATATATCGCACGCAATGCTATTACGCATGGTGCGATACCATCCGTACCACCACAGTAAAGATGTCAAAAGGGGCTGGTGTCCAGTGATTCCAATCCTAGGGATTTATTCCTAGATCTAGAAATTTTGTTTCTCTTCTGAAGATTTGGAGTCTTGTCTGATTTATGGATTTTTTCAGGACTCTAGAAACGTCACATTACGTTGCCCGATAGAGGCACGATTTAGTAATAGTGCTCTTTCAACTAAAAAGGTGGTAAAGAAATTTTTGGCTACTTCATGTTCCAATTAAGACGGCCTTTATGTTCTACTGGCTTGAGTGAAGGGGATAGGAGTTCTGTAACACGAGATTTATATTATGAATACTGGGAATTTAAACTCTGTTGTAAGAGTTAAGCATGTGTGCACATATCACGAGTCTATTGCTGCTATGTGAAAGAGACTAGGTCCATTCGTTTCACCTGCACTTCGTGAGCCGGTTCGCGGAAACTCTGCACTTTGGCATTCGTTTCACGAGTTCAAAGTGGTGGCAGCGGCACTGCAGTATTTGTTTAGAAAAAGTGCAGCTGTCGTGCTAGGTTAGTTCACGAATTCCCTGCACCTGCTTGTGAGGTGTTGCCGAGTCCGGGCAGCACAAGATGGCTGCAGCAAACACAGCCGATTGCATTTGTGTCCGTTTTAGAGACGTGCAACAAGTACGACAATGAACATTTTCCTGTAGACATATGCCAAGCAAGGTAAGCGACGCCGTCTTTTACGAATCACAGCCGACAAATCTCGTCGCTGCTGCACTTGCTAAAACGTCACCTGCACGAAGACAACAGCCAGACGGCACCACTGTGAACTAGTTCTGGAAGTGCAGGATGGACCTATTAATTTTGTCTTGTGCACGTAAACAGGTGCTCACGCTGGCTGCATTTCTTCGCCGAGCAATGTCAACACATGAATTAACTTAATTAGGGGGCTTAGAGAGGAACTGAGCGAAACCAAGATTGAGTAAGGTGGTACGAGTTAAATATTGCAGAAACAAAGTGATGAAAAGAGACAGAATTTGTTCAGGTGTTTCCGTTATGCCCCTTCCATTAGAGCGCAAAGGTGACTAAAATATTTGGTCAAATAGAGGGCCGACTGAAAGCACAGACGAAAGGCATAGCTATCAGCCAGTAAAAGCAGGCCCCCCAAACATCTATTAAAAATAATTCAAAAGTGCTTACAAACGGAGAAAATTAAGAATGGACCCGCAACTCAAAAGCTACAGCTACAGTAAAGGTGCTACATACTTGCAGTTGACCGGAATGGTCACATCTATGCCTTCAACGTCGGAGCAAAATGAACTTGACAGAAAAAGCTTTGTCAAATGGTGCCATCTACAAGCAGTTTATCCACATAACATGCAGGAAAAAGCCTTAAAGGTTGTTAAATATGGTTTGTTTTACTTTTAACAAGATTTAGAAGAATTTAACCTGAGAGCTCACTATCTCAATACATAGTCAACAATCCTGAAAAATAGCACTAAATATTATCTGGGGATTTCTTTTTTGGAATTTGAGGAGTTTCGAGTAAATTTAAAGATGAAACCTTGTCCTGGGTTGGCATCACTGGTAGTGTGGTCAGAAACACCTAAACATACCTCCCGCTGGGTACGGGCCTAGTGTGCAAGTATCGGAATTGGCTCGCGTGCGGTGGGATAAGTTGTAGACGCTCCATTGTGCATTGTTTCGAAATTCCGAATGATTTGTTAATGTTCCACAAAAAGCACAGCTGCATACTAGATATGCGAGCTGCTTTTCTAGAATGAATACGGCGCACAATAGGAGATAGAAAAATATATATAAGTAGAACTTAGCTGCGTCACATCTCTGAAGAACAAAACAAATTTGTACGCTCGGACGTTCTCTAATTTTTCCGGGTGGCCACGCAACGGCGAGGAAGAAATAAGCCGTTACAACAGCTGCGACGTAACCCACTGCAACGACATAATACGGCGCGCGTCCTCGATCATGTATACTGGCAGGCATGCCAAGCAAGGTCGCAGCGCAGTTAGGCGCATTAGCGAGCAATCCGCGCGTGCACGGAAGGCCCGAATTCCGGTCGGGGCACAGGTGCGCCACGTCGGGAAAGGCGCATGCGGCGGCGAACGAAAGCGACAACAGCCGACGGAAGGAAAAGCGCGCCGCCCGCAGACGCCCCGATAAAACGGCGCGCACCGGTGGCTTCCCGATAAAGGCCCCACTTATCGGCGGTGAAATCCGTTGTGTAAGGGGCCCGGCACGGAGAGCACGACAGGCTGGTCGCGGCCCTCGGCGCACACGGCAGAGAATAACGCGCGCACACACCAACACACAGTTTTGGAGCCGAACACATCGCATTGGTTTTATGCTTTGTTACAGAAAAAGGACTTGCGAGGAGGGGAGAGCTGCCGGCGGCCGTCGGCCTCGCGGTTCGGAGCGGCCGGCCTTGCCCTTATCTCGGGCTGCCGGGCGGCCTTGCCCAGGGAAACAGAGCGGCCCAGTTGGACATGGCAAAAAAACAGGGCGGCCTTGGGCCCCGCTCAGCTGTTGCATTCCGGCGCGCGCAAGAAGGAGTCCGACTGACCACAGTTCACGTGACTCGTAGGGGGGACCGTTGAAGACCCGGGTCGGTCCGCGCGTGCGTCCTCCCCGCGGGCGGCCAAGGCCGCCCTGTCGGCTTCCGGCGCTGCATACCGTCGAGCACACACACGCACACCACGACGACGCTCAGAGTGGTCCAGCGGCCAGACCGGGGCTCAAACCGGCGGGTCCCAACGTCGGGCCCAGGCCGAGCAGCCAGCAGGGCTGGGCGAAACCGCACAGCCGCGGCTGCTGCTGCACGAGCAGAGCGCGGCACGCCAGCTCCTGTATCAGCTGCAGCGTCTGGCGCCGCTCGTGGCCCATCAGGCACACCGTGGAGCCGTCCACGACGCGGTACAGGGTCGCCAGGAACGAGTAGCGCAGCCGCTCGTGCGAGAGGTGGTTGGCCAGGAAGCTGTGCAACTTGGCGCGCTGGGCCTGGATCTCGGGAAAGTCGATGAAGAAGCGGGAGCACATGTAGCGCTCCAGAGCTCGCGTCGAGTCGGTCGCGTGGAAGCCGCGTGCCAGCAAGTGGCAGTACTTGAGCAGTCCGCCGCCGCGGATCTCTTCGGGGTTGCGTGTCGCGATGAGCCGCCGCCGCAGGTGCTCCAGTGCCTGTCCGAAGTTTCCGTACACCGACTCGGCCAGCACGCTGGGAAAGAAATCCTGCGTGCAGCGAGGCAGCAGCGCCTCGGCCGAACCGCCGCCGCACTGGTGCAGAAGCAACAGCGGGTCCACCACGATCTGGAAAGAGTCGACGCTGAACTCGAACTGGCGCCGCATTCGGTGGACGAACTTGAGCTCCACGTTTCGACCCAGGCTGTTGGAGAGCGAGACGAGCGACCACCGGTCCTCGTCGGTGGCCACCTTGACGAGCTTGTGCAAGTAGGCTTCCTTGAGGGCGCACGCGTTGATGCGCTTCACGCCGGCCGGCAGTAGCTCGGCCAGCGCATCAAGCACGGCCGTCTTGACGCGCTCGAAACCACCGGCGCCGCTGCTGCCGAGCTCGCAGCCAAATATGACGTCCAGGTCGTTGTACTCTGCCGACGTGTCCGGCTCCAGCACGTAGGACGCGGCGCCGCCGTTCAACCGCACGTCCCGCACGGGCACGCCCTGGCGGTCCAGCTGCGACCGAACGCGCTGCACCAGGTCCCGCAGCCGAGTCTCGAGCGCCGGAAAGTTGCCGCGGCCCTGGACGGACACGGGCTCCTCGAGGAGCTCCTGCAGCCGCACCACCTGGTCGTAGCCCAGCACCGAGAACCGGGCCTCCTCGATACTGCGCCGAGCGGGCAAGACGTGTCAAGAGAGTGACAGCCGGCACGCGCCATATGTCGCCAACGAAAGGGTATTTACCTCATGATTACAAACGCTGGTCGATTTGGTTTCGCAGGTACGAATCGCTGCAGCTGGCCGGCCGAGAACGACCACTTCCCAGGAGCGCACGGCGGGCAGGCGGTTTCAGCGGCGAGCGGTCCAACGGCGTCGCAGCAGAGAACGGTTCCTCGGCGGCTGCTTGTGTGGTCAGTAAGTAAGTAAGTAGGTGCTCCTAATCCCTTTTGGCACAGGGCAGGCGCAGCGCCACAGGACAAAGTTGTGCGCTTCAACGCACATCCATACACACGCACACACACATCACCAGTCAGGCGCTTGCCGCGCCACCGTCAAAAAAAAAAAAAAAAAAAAAACATTTTGTGTTTTACACGCACTTCACGCGAACACGCACTCACACGTTTTCCACTTTACTGTTCGAAGAAAGAAAGGTCTGGTAGTAAATTGCCAGTTTCGCCACCAGGGGAAACGTGCCCTCGGCCAAGTCTATCCAGTGGCGTCGGCGTCGTTTAGATATTTTCTGTCGGCCCTTCGTTGCGCTGGACACTGTCGGGGTGTTTGTCCACCTGCCAGCACAGTCTGTCCCAGAGTTTTAGACGTCGCTTGGCACTCTCGGTGTGTTCGACTCGGGTGTCGACGGGATCATCTGGGAGACCCAGATATTCCGCCAGGTTTATCTTGGGTAGGTCCCTCGCTCCGAGTCGCGGGCAATCCATCAGGATATGTTGGATGGTTTCTTCCGTGG